CTTAATTTGATAAATTCCTCTCTTCATTTCTCTTGGTTCTTCTTTTTGAAATACTCTAGGTGGATATTTGAAATCTTTAGCTCTGTCCTTCATACGGGTCTTACCATTGCCTTCAGACTATCTGCCTATACCTTTTTACCTCGTTCTGAGAATTTCTTGGCTCCTTCTAGTTCTCTGATTTTTAGTCTCTATCCTTGTCCATTCTGCTGTCATTACATTTGTTAAGGCTTTATTTTGGCAATCACATTTTTGTTTTTTCTAAGAACTTTTTCATATCAGCATCTTCATTTTTTAATGAATTTTGCATTCTTGATTTTCTCTGAAGATATATAATACAATTATCTGATATATAATACAAGCATTTTAAAGTTTATTTATATTATTTTTTCAGAATTTGATTCTCTGAGAAAAACCAGTAATATGAAAATCAGGGCATCAGTTTCAACAAACACTTGGTGATTCTCTAGTCTGTGGGAGACTTTTGAGATTGATAGGTATTGGTAGCTCAGTGGACTATCTTCCAGAAATTCCTTACTCTTCAAACTGTTAACAGCTTTCCTAGATTTCAAGTGTTGTTATGGATTATTTGTACTGTTATGTTTTCTTCATTTCATTGAGATTTAAAGAAGAAAAAGAATTATGTCTATTTAGCTAGCCATTTGAAACCAGTTCTGTTGATGGGTTAAGTAGAGCATAGGAGTTAGGTAATAATTTATCTTGCTCCATTAAAGCCACCAAGAAAAAAATAAAGTGATGCTATATAAGAAAAAGAGTAGCCTTTGGAGGCAGATTGCTGAGTTCAGATTTTGACCGTGCCACTTGTTTGCCATGTTGTGAAGGATAAAGCACCTGAAACAATGTGTGGCATAAACTGTGCTTGTTAGCTGCCATCGTCACCATCATCAGGACATTTGGAGACTGTAAAGGAAAAGGTTGTGTTTATTGTCCAGTAAGGAAATAGCTTACTTGGATTATACAGTTCATATTGAGAAATAGTAGATGATGCGTTGAAGTCGGTTGGAATCAGATCATGGAGTCCTTGGGTTCCAGGCTAAGAAGTAGCTAGTTATTATTTTACTGAGGAGGAAAGACACTCAGAAGTTACATAGCAAACCGTCAATTGCCCAAGTTGAACTCTCTTCTGTGTTTCTTTCTACTCTGCAGGGCTTTTCAATGAAGGCGCTGTTTTAGGAAGATTATTTTGGTAATACCCATAAGGCCTAAATGTAATGATGGCAACAGGAGTTGGCACCAAAGGGACATGTTCCAAAAATGAATGGAATTTTGAACCAGATGGTCTTTGTGCTCCTTTCTAGCCCTGAGACGAGTCTGTTGACTGTCTTACCCTGTGGGTTTACAAATGAAATTTTCTCATAAAGGATCTACTTAATATAACTTATTTTCAGAATTTGTAAAATGTGTTCTCTTCTTCTGTGCCTTTCTGTAGGTTTTAGATGGAGCAGGATTAGATATTGATTTCCATCTTGCCTCTCCAGAAGGAAGAACCTTAGTTTTTGAACAAAGAAAATCAGATGGAGTTCACACGTAAGTAATCACTTAGTTGAGCTCTTTGGTCTGAATCACGCCAGGGGGCTGTTGGCAGAGCAGGCAGGTTCAGCACATCTGATACTAAGGAGCAGCATCAAATGCTTCCACGTGAACGTGTTAGTCCGTCCTTGATAGTGGTCTGTCTTAAGCTAAAATGCCTTCTGTTAACCTCCTTTTTGTTTAGGCACGTTTTTTTGATCCTGACTGAATGTTTCCTTTGCTTTGGTTAGGTAGGTATTCCCTAGGTACGGCACTCAGTCTGTTGAGGCCTTGTGAGCCTGCCTTTCTGGACAGCACAGGCGTTTTCCATCTTAGCTATAAGTTACTACTGCAGGTATGTGTCTTTAAGTTCCTTGAGCTGCTAGCTCTATCTTCCTTGCCTGTTGTTTTCTTTCTTGAAACAACAGAACAATACACCTCTACATGTATAACTTTTTATTTTACTTGAACCTCACTCTTTTTAGATAATTAGAAGGCCTGAAAGTAAAAAGATCTGACCACAGGAAACCATAGAGAAAGAAAATACTTCTTATTACTCTTTGAGTTTAGAGTTTGATAAAAGGGCCATACATTGTCCTCTGATGTCTCATTTCTCTTTGCTCGTATCTCAGAGGTGTTAGTCTGTTCCAGTCTATTATTTTATTGTGGCGCTTTCTTTACTCGTTATTATGTTCAAACTGTTTATAGGAATAAGAAGAGCAAGTATGGAGTGTCTAATATTTGCCATAAACTGGGCTTTGCATTTTATATGCTTCTAAATTAATCATTCCAACGCACTGTGAGATAGATTCTTTGATTCCCCAATTCCCATTTTACAGACCAGGAGGCTCAGAGAAATTAAATAAGTCTGCAGGGATACACATTTATTAAAAGGAGGAGGCAGGATGAACCAAAATTCCTGCTTTATACCATACGATGCTTAGAACATCTCTGGCACATAGCACTGTGTTAAGTACTAGCTATTGTTATAATTCATTGGCCTTTGTTAGTCAAAGTACCTGGCATGTAACTGATACTCAGTAATTACTGAATACATGTATGAGTGAACGAGAGTTGGGGGGAAGTCTCAACCATAATTTTTTAAGATACTCATTTAAAACTGCTTCTGAAAACGGCATTTTACCTATGCAGAGCTCAAAAAATTTGCACAAACTGTTGATAAATATAAGAGGAATAGTAATTTTAAAGTCAGTTGAGATTGATATACATGGAATTAACTAAGCTTTCTCTTGATAGGTGTATGAACAAGAAGTAAAAGTGTAGTTCATCTTCAAATGTCAGAATATGGGAAATGTATAGAATTTCTGCCAATTTAAATTTCTTTCTAATTTCCTGCTTTCAGTTATAGATAAATTAAAATTAACCGTTAGGGGGGAAAGTATCTTATTGCTTTTTTGCATAGAATTACCTCTCATTAAACCACAGGAGAAAAGAATGAGTTTGTAAGAATTCACATTTATTGAGTTCTTTTGATGTGCCAGGTCACTGTTCTAAGCACTTTACATGTATTAATTTTTTTATTCTTCCCTACAGTCCTGTGAGGTACATGATACTATTATCATTTTACCAGTGAAGAAATTGAGGCACAGAGCAGTTAAGTACGTTGCTGAAGGTTACACAGCTAATGAACAGCGATGCAACGATTTAAAACCAGTCAGGCCAACTCTTAACCACTACGCCAAATTTACAAATCTACTTTCTAAAAATTAGACGTAAACAGAAATTGTATCTTTAGTTATATTAACTTTTTAAAGGCAACTAAAATCTCAGTTATACCACTGAAAGTAGTTTTTTTTCCCTTAAATTAAATCTTTGAAACAAATACTGTACCTTCCGGAAGTCAGGGTTGGTAAAAATGTCTCCAGACAGAGCCTTAGACAGTGTAGGTAATACCTGTTTGTCTAGCACTGCCTGCCGTGAGGAGGAGTCATATATAAAAGCGTTTTTCTAAACCACTGAATTACTATTACCCAACTCACACCGGACGACTGAATGCTAATTGTTTTTCTACTTGGAAGGAAAATTCACTCTTTTGTCTGCTTTTATTTGGATAATATTTTGTATCATTTGCAGTAATAAGAGTCCTTTGTATTAAAGGCAGGCAACACAGATTTAAAAAGAGGTTTATATTAACTAGAATGTAGTGAACATCTTTTTTTTGTGTGTTGTATACACGTGCTAAACTCCTATATCTGAGTCAGTGCTTCTCAGACATTTTTCATTTCTCCACCGTCCCCATGTAGCCTTTTTAGGACTTTTTCCCTCATCATCTCCCATGAAATTTTAATACCAAAGATATACCACATGCCCCTTTTTTTTTTCTTTCTGTATATCTGTGCTTTATCTATAAAAAGAATAGTTACACAGCTTACCCTTTTTATCCATTGCAGGGTTAAGAATGGCTAAAGTTGGGTTAAGTAAAACTAAGACAAAATTAAAAGATTTAAAAACCATTAACACTAACTTTGTATTTTCTGAATAACTTTTAATATAATTTATTTGCTTATATATTGTTAATTATATATGCAAATTAGCAATTTATAGACATAAGAGTAGTGTAATTAAAATTTTTTAAATCATTCCATTTTTCAAGGAAAGTAGAATGATTGAAACAAATTACATTAATTTCTTTCAGTGACCTTAAACTTTTGCTTGATGTGGGAAAGTAACTTTAGCTACTCAAAAAGTCATTCAGATATTATTGACTTTTTCCCCTGTGTTTGGCATAGTTAATGATGAGCTGAATAACCTTTGTAAAATTAAATAATAAAATATAAACTAGTTTTATTCAAACTCCCTCCCAAAATTCAAGATTAAAAGAGATAAAATATATGAGAGCAGTGTGTAAATTATGAAGGAATGTACAGGTGTTGGTGGCTATTTTTATTTATAATATATATGCTAAAATCTAGTCACATTCCTAAGTAGTTGGGCCCACAGAAGGCTGTAGAGAATAACACCAGGCGGCCAGACGCACACATCCACCAGGGAGCCTGTGGCATCAGCAGGCATGTGCAGGCCACCTCAACCGTGACTCCTGGATCAAGCAGTCAGTCCACCTACAGTCCTCCCGTCACAGCTGTGTGCTAACATTTTGTAGCACTGGTCCTGCATACATTTTGTATATCTTTCAAGAACTCATAGTGCTTGTGATATGCTCAAGAAAATCCAATAAGAGAAAATTAAATACAAAGGAACAAGATTTTGTCGGTAGGATTGAGCTTTGGAGGGTCACAGTACCACCATGTCTAAGATTTTTCTGCCCCTCTTGAGCAGTTTTCACCCTTAGGGGGCAGTATCCCTCCACCGAGAATGCACAGTCTAAGTGAATGCTGCCCTTCAGAATAGTCACCTTTGGTGATTATGCACTTACTGTAACAGTGATGCCATTAATCAGAATATAGTGGGAAAATTTCCTCAGGAAATGCCCCACATCTAGGTCATGTTACATAACAGTCATGACATTTCATTGTTTTATTCCTTTTAATATTGTTCCCTGCTGTGTTCATACCAGCATTTGCTTCAGGCTCCTTCCAAAGGTGAAATGCACTCTCAAAAGACAAAGGTGTGTCATGATTGAGGAGACTGTGAAGAATACAGGCTGGCTCTGAACAGTGCTGTAGAGAGATCAAGTAACTTGAGAGGCAGAAAACCCAGCTTCACCTGTGCCAGTAACAGGCTGCGTGATCATGGGCAAGTGTCTTCATCTATGTGAACCTTGTTCTACTTACCTTGAAAAGGTCAATTGTGCCCAGTTTCAAACATGAGGGTAAGGGTTAAAAGAGAGAAAATATATGAAAGCAGTGTGTAAATTATGAAGGGGTATACAAGTACTGGCTATTTTTATTTTAGTATATATGCTAAAATCCAATCACATTGCTGAGTAGTTCTCTCGTACGCTTCAACAAAACAGTTAAGTCAGAAAAGGGGGGGAGAGGATGGAGATTGGCTTAAAAGATGTGAGAATCACATCTTTTTTGTTCAGAAAGTTGTAGAAAATAATATAAGCTGCCTCAAAATTTAAGCAGTCCAGCATATTGGAGATTATTGAAAATCATTTAGATTTTCACATGAATAGTCACAACAAAAACTAAAACATTTTGAACTTTGAACTTTTTTTATGGCCAGCAGTAGTTAATGTCATTAGCCTGTGCAGTATTTTGTTTGTTAAAGTTTCTCCCTACAAAAAAATTATTAGAAAACTACTTTGCTAAAGTAACTCTGCCCAGGCCAGTTATCTTGACTGTGACACTAATGGGACCAAGATCCTAAGTTCAGTTTAGATGTGAGTGGCATTTATTCAGTAAAGGTAATGCCGCTTTGAGTAAATCTCTGGTTGTTGGCCACTGAACGCATCCCTAATCTTTGTAAACGATATTATAAAGATGTATTTAATTCGTAAGGGGCCTGGAAAAAAGCATTTAGGACAATCCATCACTTTTAATTTTTATTTTTTTAATTTTTAAAAAATTTTATTGAAGTATGGTTGATTTATCATGTTGCGTTAGTTTCAGGTAAACAGCAAAGCGATTCAGTTATACATATATGTTCTTTTTCAGATTCTTTTCCATTATAGATTATTACAAGATATTAAATATAGTTCTCTGTGCTATACAGTAGATCCTTGTTGATTATGTATGTTATATATATAGTAGTGTGTATATGTTAATCTCAAACTCTTAATTTATCACTCCCCCCAGTCTCTTTCCCCTTTGATAACCAGTTTGTTTTCTATGTCTGCATCACTGCTTTTCATAACAAAACAAAACAAAACTCACTTTACAGATTAATCTCAATTAAAGGGGAGGTTTATAGTGGTATTTCCGTATGAATTGAACTCATTACAAATTATTTTCAATAATATGCAAATATTAAGGTTCATTGTGAATTATCATGTATCTAGGTTTTTAATCCTGTTCTCTTCCAAAAATTAGGTCAAGATTATTTACCATAATTCACTGAGTAAACACCAAGCACATCTTAAGTTGCAAGTACTTGAACGTATACTTCCAGGTTGCCACTTTCCCAAGAAATTATTAATTATCTTTCAATATTAAAGAAATCTTTCTATCAACAAGCTATCCAATTATTATAAACGATGTTATTTCTTCTCTTTTATAGTAGTCTTTCCTTTGATCCCAGATGGAAGTGCAGATAACTGAAGACATGTCCTTTTTTGAAATACAGGATAGAGACAGAAGTTGGTGACTACATGTTTTGCTTTGATAATACATTCAGTACCATTTCTGAGAAGGTGATTTTCTTTGAATTAATCCTGGATAACATGGGAGAACAGGAGCAAGAACAAGAGGACTGGAAGAAATACATTACTGGCACAGATATGTTGGATATGAAACTGGAAGACATTCTGGTCAGTATGGTCTTTTAATAAAATAATAAAAATTACTAACATCCAGAGACCTTACCACATGATAGGCACTGAGCTAAGCATTTTATCTGCATTAACTCATTTATCCTTACTTACCTCTATGAGGATTATCATCTCCATCTTTCCAATGAGGAAAATTATGACTTAGGGATATTTTGTAATGTTTCTGTCACATAACCAGAGAGAGGGACAACTAGAATTTGAACACAGACTCCCTTAGAACGTTCACAGACAGAAGAGTGTAATGATCTGTGGCATACTTGCACATAGAGTAAAACTGAGTAATTTGTATACATTTAAGATGTACAGGCATTTTTCTTCTCACAGCATAGTTTTTATAACATGGAATCTGATATTACTTGATTAATTAATTTGGCAATACTGTTAACATTACTCAGACCAAACCTAGCAATTATTATCAGAAGCTAGCACTATACTCAGGAGTAAAAACATTTAATTATGGCTTCTTTGCTTGTATTTCTTTATGCTTTATGATAAATATGCATAATGAAATATAGTTTTATACATTTAGCAGAGCAGTCTGAAATTTTGTGTATATTTTTTGCATTTAAATGAGGACTTTAAGCAAATCTGGTTTTTGGGGGGGTTTTTTTTGCCATCAATACCTTGACATCATTTTGAATCTCAGTTTACCTTATATTCATGTAGACCTTTTATAGTTGTCAAGGCATTTTTCACCAGGACCCTGCTATAAAAATAGTTTTTTTGGAAGATGTACAACTTAGAATGCCTCTTGGTAAGCCTGTTTTATAAATGTGATCCTGGAACATTTTTGTATTAAAAACAGATTATACTTTTGGATGTATAGTAATAAGAGCATCTAAAATTGAAATATTTCTAATTTCACTGCTACTTTGTGAGATAAAAACATTGTATGTTTTTCGGGATACCAAACTGGACCAGACCAACATTCAAAGAAGAAAATATTACAAACGCATAGTGCATTATGTAAATACCCAAAAGCTGTCATCAGTTAGGTTTTTTAAAACATAGTCCTTTTCTTACAGTTGTAAGGGCTAAGAAGACAATGTATGTCTAAATTACACTATGCCATGCAAATATATTTTCATATTACCTATTTTCAATTCACCGTAGCTTTGTTCTTTTTTTAAATAACTAATTGTAAGCAATAAATACATTATGAGGACTATTCCATAAACTTTATGTAATAAAGATCTTTAGGTAATCTAAGTAGTACCGTCTCTTAATTAAAATTGTAATTGGATATTAAACTGAGTACTGTGAAGCACATTTTTAATTAA